TTTTTTTTTTTTTTTTGAGATCGGGCGAAAATCAATGCGCGCGCGGATGTCATCCATAAAATTAAATCGGTGTGGCCTAATGAAAACGTCTTCTGTACTTTGTCTTGATATCAGTGCCTTGATACATTGGCAAAGCTAAGGATGTCTCAAGTAATTGAACCTGAACCAGGGGAACATATTGGACAGCAGACAAGGCCGAATCTTCAGCTCGTCTGTCTAATCCTTCTTTCAAAGGTCATGCAATCAAGCCAGCAGGTACTGACATCGATTTTGTGCGACTTAAAGGACTGCCACGATACGGTTTGTAGGTCGAGGAGAGTAAAAAAGATACGGAGTGTCGGGTGTGACCTTTTCGATGGTATGTGTCTATTTTGATTCTATCAATCTAGTCAGTCAATCAGAACAATATCAAGTCATTTATTGTCTATAAATCAATTTATCAATGTATTTCATTCAGAATTGTTGTCCCTTTTGTTTGTTCTCGTTTTCATACCATATTTGTTCATTTCTTTTATTCGACATCGCTTTTATAAAACCCAAAGTTTAAATGATGGCTGTACCTGGTTTAAAGAGCGCGACAGCCTTCAAACAGGCGAACTCGGAAGGGTCCACTTCCAGGGCCTTGAATCTGTCCACCATCTCCTGCAGGGCACGCAGGTCCTGCAAGGTGGCGCCCGAGCCGCCGCTCTGGGCATGCTCGGTTGGTGAGACGAGCGGAGAGGTGTCAAAGGGCATGGACCACTGGATGGCGCACAGGAGGAATAACTCGCCCCATCCTTCCTCCAGAAGGATAACCTGTCCATTAACAACATAATGTTTTATGTTAACTGGAAAAGGATGGAATCAAAATTACTTGAATTGATATTAAATCTGTATCGGTAATAAGTGAAAGTGCGACGCCATTAATGGGTCAGACAGAGGTGCCCTGGCGTTTGCATCAGCCTCCGTCCCGATTGACAGATGTTGACCCATTAATGACATCGCGAAGGAAGTTCAAAGGTACCTGGTCGCGGAAAGGCAGGTTAGCGAAGACCGGCAGGTTTTTGGCCCACTTGACGGCCATGAAGAGCAGACGTGCCGAGGCCTCGTAGATGTTCTCCTGGGCGGACGGGTACAGGTGGATGGCCTCGGGAACTTCAGGACGTTCGGGCGATACGCTAGTGACGTCAACGTACTGCTGGTCTTCGGCTGAAAACAACATTAACGTTAAGTCGGACAAAATATGCAGATGCAAAATACCAGTATACAAAGCATTTCTGTGATGATGATAATCTCTACAAAGTAAAATTGTTTTTAGGACATGATGTGATACTTGTATGTTTCTCCACACACCTTCTTTAGGCTCGAGCTTGGCACACGTCTCGGCCGTCATGAGGCTGGCCATGAAGCGGTGTCCGGCGGGCGGACTGCCGTTGACGGCGCGCTGTGTGTGGAGGATGGGGGCGGGGAGGGAGTCACGAGCCGTGGCGATCACAGCCGGGTCCGTGTCCATGTCGATTTGGTCCGGACGCACCTGAGCACTGTTACGGGGCTGCCGCTCATTTTGTACGGCTGAGAAAAACAAACAAACAAACAAAAGGTCTGTGAAATGTTACAAGGAAATATCCAACATAGCCATGGACTATCGTGAAAGCATTTACGAAATGACAGTTTTCTTATTTTTCTTTCAAGTTGAACGCACACAATTTTTGTACTAGTAGCTAAATGATTTTGCCAGATATAGTAATATTTACCTTCCCAAAAATTCTTAATGCATATTATGATGTTATAAATTTGTGGTGCAATAAAGTTTACAATACATGTTTATCATTGTACAATTGTACCGGTCATGACGTCAGAGTGGGTGTGAGGTGTGCGATTCAAAGCTGGCTTTGTTACGAAAACAACTTCAGTTCATCCGCTTGGCGGGAGGAATTAGCTGAAAATGGAAAGTCCGCATAAAAACCAAGCCATACAAATCTACTATTACAAGTCAATTAGCTCCCAGGGCGGAGGATGAACGGATGAAGCGTAGCTCGCCCTGCCCGTATCGGCAATTAGAATCAATTAAGTCGGTATGTCTGTACAACGTAAACACGGGGAGATCCGCGCCCGCCCCGTGATCCCTCACCCATCCTATAACCTCTCGCATGCGAATGTACCGCAGGGGAATCGGCGGCACGCTTTCTCTAATTGGCCTTAATGCTGCCACTGATTGAAGGGTTTGTGCTTCAGTGTGTAGACCGCGGGATTTGGTTTGTTGACGGATAAATAAGTCTCGCCGTGATGATCTTCCACGCTCGACGATTTGTAATTTCATTTGCGGGTGCGACGACTGCGGAAGCTGATTTTTGTTGAAAGCAACTTTGCTTTGAGGGAAAAAGAGGGGCGAAGACCTTTTCTGTTTTCAAAACACCACCTGCGAAATACAAGGCGCAAATTTCATAAACTAAGCTGCAGTTGATGTTTAAGTTTACTCCACGTTTTGTTTCACTGTGAATTTTTTATTCCTACTGGAGCAAACCACGAATTTTTTGTCGTGCGTGCGGTACTAAAAGTTGTGTTTTCGCCACAAACGCATCAAAAGGAACTTGAATTACCGAGTGGTATCCTCTTGGGGAGGACACACTATATAGGCACTTTGTGCGAAGTGCAATTTAAATTCCAGAGAAAAAATGTGACACTTTAAGTTCAAGTTCAGTAAAAGTGATGCCTACATGCGTGGTCGGTTTCCTGGCAATGACCAATTGTTAGAGACAGGTCTCGCCTTTCCTGTCAGAAAACAGGCGTCGGATTCATGGACTTAACGTTAAAAGTTTCCGCGATGAGAGAGGCTCCCCACTCGGCCACAGAGAGCCGTTTGTGCCAATGAACAGTGATACGTCCACGTGCGCGCGCGTTCTGGGGAGGTAAAAGACTTCTCGTGTGACGATACATTCCACACTACTGTACTACTGGATACACCGTCCTTGTTAAGATTAAAGAAAAGAAACTAACGTAAACAAAGGAATCGCGTGTGTGCAGACACGTGCGACCATCTGGAAATAACCGGACGTTTAACCCGTATCGGTGTGAAGTTCTCAAAGGCTAGACAACTGTTTCATTCAAATACATTTGCCAAGTGAACGTTGATACTGAGTTTTCCCTTTCATTCTGTTCTGCTCTCTTCAAACATTTATGTGTGCATTATAGGCCCATTACGCGTTACGTCATTAAGTTGACATTTTGCTTGTTTCTTCTGTGAATATCCTACAAGTTAGTTGTTGGCACGTCCTAGTCCAGACCACGTCGCCGCTCTGTTGCAATTGCAATATATCGTGACGTCCTAACGTGAGGACCCCAACGATGGATGCACTATACTACACTACACTACACTACACTACACTACACTACACTACACTACACTACTCTATACTATACTATACTATACTATACTATACCATACTATACTATACTATACTATACTATACTATACTATACTATACTATACTATACTATACTATACTATACTATACTATACTATACTATACTATACTATACTATTACTACACAAAACTTACCGTCCTTGTTCATGCCGGCAGCCAGGCATTTCTTCAGCCGGCATGCCTGGCACTGGTTCCGGTGGGCCTTGTCAATGGTGCACATCCCTTTTCCAGCCTGGCATCTAGACAGAATCAAATTACGTTTAGTTGCAAGGAATTCTTTCCTTTTTCTTTCACTCTCTCTTTCCATCTACCTGTGTCTGTCTGTCTCTCGATCGCGCGCACTAACCACGTCTTTTTATCGATGTAAATCAGATAATAGGGAGCCTTTACATTTCAGTTTGCAGGTGCTTGTATAGCCTAGAGATATCGTCAGTATCACATAGTTTATTTGTGAGTATTTTTGCAATGTTTTATTCGATCCACAGATTTCAGTCGAGCACCCGACAGGCTAGGTGACTATCAGGCACCATGGCCTCAAACTTCAACACGTGATGTCAATTTCTTACTTCTGCGCTTGCTCGCATGATCGGGCAGCTTTGGAGAACAGTTTCAACTCCAAGTCTGACTTCCTGACTTTTGGTCCTTCTCCAAGCCGAACCACCGCCACCACCTGCACTTCCCGCCCCGGCCGCACGTACGACACGCGTCTGTCAGCACGCGGAGGAAGCACGCATTAGAGTCCTTCCTGGCGCTCCTACCTAATTGATCTTGAACTTGGTTTTAAGTGGAGGAAAAGGCACTTTTACACCCGGGAGAATCAGAGGAAGTTGAACCGAACCGTGACCTTTGCTCTGACGTGGGAGGCTGCTCAGCGTTAACTACGTCAGACGCCAGACTATGATTGACAGGTGCAGAGCGCTGGCGATGGAGGAAGAAGGTTTGGATCTTCCCAGACAAGAACTGGTCTATTCCAATGATAAAATAGCCGCTCACAAGGTTATAAACATTATACATGGCACTTGAATTTTCCTAATCTTTCTAAGTACTACCGCTTTATGAGCTTCTCATAGTTTTTTTTTTCTTTTTGGAATGAACAGCTAAAATCCTCATCTTCAGATCTGTAGTTAGTGACGTCATCATAGCAGCTTATTCTGTAAGCACAGATGGAAATCAAAGGTCCTTTGCAGGGATATTCTTGAGGATTATGGATAGGCCCTTATCTTTGCTCTGTCGGCACAGTGGTAAGGCTAGGTCTGCGTTGTATTGGCGGCTATCGTCGACAGGGTACTAATGTCTGGCAGGGTCTGTTATCCAAACACCCCTCTCCGTACACACCCTACCATACCGAGCGTACTTCACATGTATCAAGTAATGAAGATGACTCATTTGAAATAAACAATTGTTCAAAAACATCCGAATATACAAAGCTATCTCATTGCGCCCGTTTGGAAGAGTTAAACACTCGAGCAAACTACAGCGTAAATAACCACCGATGGGAAGGAATGACAGGGAAGAAGTAACACCAACCTGTAGATGAGCTTGCGGCGCACACTGCGTTTGAAAAAGCCGCTGCAGCCGTTACAGGCGTAGATGCCGTAGTGCTTGCCGCTGGAGGTGTCCCCGCACACTTTACAGGCCGTGTGCGACATCAGCCGCTTACCTGCGACAAGACATGGCACGGTCAGACAGACCAGTCTCTGTTCTCACCTTACTACCTTGAAACGTACAGAACTAGCAAAATATTTCACTATCAGAAAAAAAGAAAAGAAGAGGAACATGGTCTACTGGATACCAAATGATTCAACTGCTGCCATGTTTCAAAGTTCACTATACTTGATTCTATGGTTTCTACCTTTCTCCGAGTAGCTTCATTGAGAGGTTATTCCAACATCATAAGAAAGATTCACAGGTATAAAGTCGAGCCGGTCGGCAGGAGCGTTCGGTATAATAGCGAGCACATGCCCAACTGTACCTTCAAACTTCTGCACTCCGGGCCGCCCCATGTCGTGCGGGAAGATGGCCTCCGACATACAGCCGGGATAGGAGTGTCGCAGGGTGCTGACGCCGAGAGTTGGAGGGCTGATGCTCCGGGGTCCGGGCAGTTCCATCCCGCCTGGCGAGCTCTCCGACCCGCCCATGCTGCCGGAGCTCGGGCCGGGGCTGCCCCCTGTGCTGGGGCCGGGGCTACCCTCCGCACTCCCTGTGGAGCTAGACCGCGGGCTCCCGTTACTCCCAATCCCTGACTCGCTGTTACCTGCATGTGGATCCATGAATCGAACAGAATGTTTCTAACAAAGTTCCGCCCAAAAGCAAACGGTTAAAGTTGTGAGGAAAAAAACAAGTACAAATAGCGTTTGTCTCCAGGAAATTAACGTTTACAGTAACGTTAAAGGTGACATGACTCATATCTACTCGTGGGAACAACATTCAACAAATCTGAACGCATGCGTGAGCGGAGAAACTCAGACCTCCCTGTTCTCATCGATCCTGATAATGTCGAAAATTTTCTCCAATCTTTCTTCTTTTGAATCACGAGTTTATCCAGTTTGTCTTTCTTCCCTTTATTTACTGTTTCTAACCAAGACTATAGACAAATTTTTGCACCTATTGTTTATTCGATACTAGTATTGTGTCGAAATCTGTATATTTCGGCATCGAAAACATAAATACAAAACATCGGTTTATGTTACCATATGCTCTCGACCGCAAATAATGGAATTTGTATTTTGAAAAGGCTTTAGCAACCTTGACACACTGTTTTATGCCATTTCTTTATTTTTTTGAAAATAAAGCGTTTTCTTTCGTTTGCGACAGGCTATTGGCAAAATATCTCATAATGGAGACTGGATTTTATTTCAGTACTATCTGTTTTACTGGACGTCTACGTTTCAAATCAGATTTGTGATTTTACTGTAGGTGGTTGAATATACAGGTACATATATCACAACAGTGATCGTTGGTTCAAGAAGTAATATTTTATTAAACTAACTATATGCGAAGAATGACATTTAGCTCCACATCTAATGAGAACAAGACATTCGACTTGAAACGCTTCCGTCGTGGAGGGTCCCATACAAAACGCGCACATTTTGTTTTAAACCTCTGTGGATATATTAGAGTCCCTTTGTTTATGATTGAAAGTCAAATTAAGTTTCCCTTATGATTAACCGTACAAAATCATCAAAGACTTCCTCTCAAACCGGGGAAATATTTACGTACAACGGATGTTGGTCTGAAAGCCGTGGTAATGACTTGTAATACCCAGTCCCGTTACGTATAAGTGTTTTTTTACCAAGGCTAAATATCTTTACCCTCTCTCGTCCAATTTCCTGGACCATAATTCATATACTTATGACAGCGAAGCTGAAGTACAATTTTCCCAGCTATTGTGCGGAGGGTGCCTATTTACTGTAGGTGACACCACCACTGACGCCACCATACGTTCCATCCATTCACCACACAATAGAGAATACGACATACTAAATGCGAGCTCGGATAATGGCTAATTCTCGCAGCCATTAAAACCCCGGCGGATTAAATTCGCGTGTTTGCGTTTGCAGCGGATAATGTCACGAATTAAGAAGTATAATTCGCCGGGGTAATTTGGGAAATGTAGATGTCAACACCCGGTGTCGCTCCTGTCACGCGAAAATTGCCAGCAATCGTCGGTAGGATTATACAGGACCGGGCAGCGTGCGCAAAAATGCCAATTTCACGTCAAAATGAAAACTTGCGAGGCTTTTACTGTGTACGAGAAAGGAAATAGCGGATGTAACTTCTATGACCTTACCGTTATGATATTATCAATGGTACTAACTATGGTGACTCGTGGTGATGAACTACATGTACATGTAGCTATGATATTAGCCCCTAAAATTTCTTTACGACACGACCTGATAGATTCAATGATAGTCCAAACTTTTCCCGGCCAACTTTGTAACCCGTCCCTCCGCCACAGCACGCCTGGACCATCTGACTTCATTACAATAACACTTCCTCCGGCCGTCACGTAGCTAGCTGATCGCCTAGTCTCTGCACGCCGTACCATCGGAAGCGCCCATTGTTGCCAACCCGTGATAGATTGACTTTTTAATTGAGAAATTGATTCCGAGAATGTTATTTTGATTATGATTTCCATTAAAGGACTGTATACTGCCATTCATACTGCCAGGGCCTAATGTACCAGTCTAATCTTGCGCGGGGCAGATTAAGCTAGCGGGAATTTAATTTCTTACTTTGTGTTGCCACTGAATTGCTGTTTGCGGTAGAGATGGGATCCCACGCCAATCTCCCCCGCGTTAGATCGACGTTTGAGTGACACCTTGCGAGCTTTTAGCCTCTTTACTTACACTCAGGATGGGAAAACAGCACTTTCAGAAGGCTTGCTAACAGAAGTCACTACCTCGCACTTACTTTAATGTTCATCCTTGTATTCATTTATTAGGTAAATTGAATGAAGAAAGCACGTCACGAAAAATTTGAACTCTCTGAAGTTTTCGCGCGATCATCATATACCTTGCATTAAAAACGTGCGGTATGGAGGCATAGTAAAGTTTCCCAGTGAGTTTAGTGTGTGTCAAATCTGCAGCCTTGCCATACATATGGCCATTTTGGCTGCATGGTTTGTAATGTTCATTCCCATAGATGCAGCCGTGCAGAATTCCGAACCAGGCCGTTCAACCACCAATTGCAAAACATAATTGGTTTAGAGCTGTGTCCGCCGGCGTGAACGCTCATCTGCTAAAAACGGGCGACCAAATTGATGCCTCAGCCGGGAAAAAGCACACAAGACGCTTTTGAATGACAGCTCGGTCAGGCGACGGTCCGTCAAAAAACGATGATGACACCTTCCAGGATTTGACAACCCCATCATGTGTAGATTATTGACGGTTGTTGCAGCCCCGGGGGCTTTTCTGTCATTACTCCGCTGTATTGCCATATAGCCGTGGTGGTCGCAGATGCTTTGCGTCTAATCCAATTCTCGGGTGCTCACTCGATTTGACACGCCCGCAAACAATGAGAAAGCCACGGGATAATGTCGTTTGCTCCCAGCTAATTAATTTATGGTCTTTTAACGAATAGCGGGGCAAAAGACGGGGCCAAAATTAATCAAGAAACCACAGGATCATTTGAAGATCAGTGTTTCATTCACTGGGCGCGGAATTGTGTTACAACCAGAGCTGCGCAAGCAAGATTCAATTTTCAGTTGGTTGAATGTGGTCGAAATTTCCAAGGCCCAAAAGTTGACCCACGAAAAGTTCTGCAATTTCGCCGATGTACGCATAGGAAAAGCAATGCTTGTTGGAAAGTTCCAATAGCTGGTATGTTAAACGTTCAGTTCCGTTTTATCATGAAGCAGTCATGATTAAAAACCATCATTGGAATTAAATCTTCTTCATATCATCTGAGAGTGTAACATACAAACGTCGCGAAGCTCTTACATGTATATATAAAGGAAAGAGGTCTGAAGAAATAGTATGCATTGTATTTTTAAAGCTCCTATATACTTCAAAAAGCGTTTGCTTTCATATCACTGTGATGTCTATCATGATTTTCTGGCCATCATTATTGCTCCTGACAGTATGAAAGTAGATACATCTAACCATAAAATGTCCTTGTGATCTGCAGTGTAACTGTCCGCAGACGATAGCAGTGTACATGTGTTGTACTGTACTTGCTTCCTGTTCAGATAAATAATCCATGAAATCGGTACTTTCCGTCATATGTGGACTTTGGATATAGGGGTAGCCAGTTCTGGGAATGCTGACACGTAGACGTACAGATTTATATAGGTATATGTTTTGTAAGAAAGGGCCCTCCGAGCAGTCAAGATAAAGGGACTAGTGCGGCAGATACGGTAGTTTTATAGTCATGATAGTGCACTGTGATATCGTTCTTCGGGTTGCTCCCAACAGACAGTGCAAAAATTCCTAATGTAACGTCATGGGGGTAATCTAATTATTTCACAATGACTTATGCGAAGTCATATTGGAATTTTCCATTTCAATGTAATGTGTGGGTTTTTAATTCATGATCAATAGTTCATCATCATGTTTAGATAATGGTCATCTATGAGAATTGAATATTTGATACTGTGTGTTCTATGATTTGACCAGAAAACGTGCATGGCATTTAGACCTTTAGCTTGCCCACACCATGAATTTTGTTTACAACCTCAAAACTTCCAAAGCCTCACTCTGCAAGATCTAGAGAAACCATATGTTAACCGTCTTTTGTTCCTTTACCAGCAACTAACGCGTGTCCAAACACAAGCAAAGACAAGGTAAAGGTAGATTTTGAGATAATTAACCATTGATGGTTAACAATTAACCGCTCTTAATGTTCGTGTACATATTCATTTACGAGTTTTGAACGGAAAAACCTATAGACTTTTTGTCGATAGATTAGGATTGCAACACAAAGTGCTCCTAGTAGATCGGTAATATGACTACCCGTAAACGACACAGAAAAAACTCTACCTGCTATGGTATCGTCCACTCTGGTCGTATATCGAGACCACGGTTTATTAGCTAGCGGTTTTGGACTTTTGGATGACATTGAAGATCAACCGCTAGATTCTGAGAATCATTTCTATGGATCTGGCTCCTTGCGCTGCACGAGTGCTTTATTTGCAATGTACTGTTAACATTGAAGATAAAATCATGAGACAAAGACGAATAACCACTGCACTTACAGCACCTTGCTTCTGTTGCCAGCAATCATCATATCAACTGAATTTTAACATTGGCTGCTGCTTCTCGTCTCTGCCTGATAACGTCTTGAAACAAGTTGCAGAAGGTCTGCTTTGAAAAGAATTCGCAGGAATGCGCAGCTACAACCTGGGAGGCCAACACTTGATACCCCTGGCCTGGGCGGGATAAGGTGCCTGCTGTCCGCGGTGAGAGCGGCTTTCAAGCAAACAGCACACCGAAAACAAAGCCCTGACCTGCGGCCTGCCGTCGTCACCTGTACAGACAGATTTCCGCCGTTTCTCCCTGAGACAAACCACGTGGCGAAGACGCTATTAAAGCGGGCGTACCTTTAGTGTAAGACGATGGCTAAGGGATCACATTAAGGCATCTCTGCATTCCGGAAGTCCTCATTTGTCACTTGTAAGTGCGGACAAACTGCTCCTGGCTGCTGACATCGGCGCGGTTTAATGTCCGCCACTCCTGGTCTTCTTAGGCACGAGGCACTGGACAGTTTTGGTCTCAGGCAATTGGAAGAACAAAACCTGACAACATTCCTTCTGGTGGTTTTGTGAGCAACCGCAATGCGTTGGACGCTGAACTTTCGATCATGTAAGGGAATGATTTCTCCGTCTCATATCCTATTCCAAACAATAACACAATAATGTAAAGGACTTCACTTTCTTAAACATCCAAACCTCTGACAGTAATACCGTTGGTATCGTACTTTTATTTTTGCTATGAAGCGCACGTAGTAATGAAATAGCAAAAGATTATACGGGACAAGTATAAGGGTTGCTAAAATGACTGCCGCAATATTGCTGATCTTCTGCGGAGAATCTTTAAGTATTGATATGTTGACATCCGTGCAGCAATATGCTTATCACCAGCCGAACTGTCACGTCATTTTCAGAAAGAACCGAACAAGACTGTCAAGGGCAGATCTTGGATCCAGATTCTGTAGTCTCATCTTTTAACTTTTTCATGTTAACAAAATCTGGGATGGACATCTTTATCGTTGTTTTCTGTAGGACGATTTCTAACTTCTATTTCTTACACAAGAAAATGGTGGACTTACCGGAAATAACAATGGAAAATCCTGTTTCAGAATGCATTTTGACAACAGAGAATTCGAAGGACTTTCAAGATATTTCTGTTTTTGTTTAGAGACATTCCTCCATAATATTACATTCACCAATGCATGAAGGAGGACGCGAACAAGAGTCACACTACGATTTTAAGTTCGGACTTGTGCTTTACCATTACTATCCTTAAACCTAAGAGTAGACAGGTGCCTACATGTGGTATAATGACAATCAGCCATATCCTCGCGTTTTCATAACTTTGGACCGTTTTCAATAGGTGAATACTATACTTCTCAAGTTCAGTGCGTGATACAGGCAGTCACAACTATGATGGCGTATTTCGGAGACTAAAAGCTGCGGCGGGAGCCTTTTGTCTGTATTTTTGCATGTAGGGACGTAGAAAGATTAAAGTTAGAGATCTGCTTTAATTTAGAAGAATAGTATCATTGCACTCTTGTAGGTACAGTTCTGGTGCATAAAACTTGTCTGATTGTAACATACATTCAATGTTCATGTCGATAGGGGTCCATACGATTGGGTTGATCAAGACGCCAAGACGCCACATCTAGTCAGGGCCATAGCTATTCCAAAACTGAGCTTCATTTAAAACATTTTATTTGCCGTTTCTCCGTGGTGCCATCGGTAACGCAATCCAGTTGGTGAGCCGCCATATGGGACTAATTCTTAGGAGGCTGCAGTCATTTCGGACGGGGACGTAAAGCCTGCGGTCCTCTGTAACTCGTAAAAGAACCCAACACACTTATCTTGAAGAGTAGGGGTGATCTGGTGATCTGAAGAGAAGCCGAATCTACTTGAAAAAGCACCATGCATGCTTCACCTAAGTATAGGATGACTGCTTTACCCTCTATTTTTCTTAACGAAATTTTCAGGTGACATCTGCTGCAGCTTGACTCACAACTCGGAGGCGTTGTATGCACCACACCAGCTACGTCCCACCCGCTCGGATACAGATCGCTATACATACACTGTGATACACATATGTAATGCTCCTTTTCCAGGTTTTCTTCTCACATTGTGAGTTTTCTTGCGTACTTTGACGATATCACGAGTTTCGAATTCTTGCCACAACTACATTGTATGCTGTAAGATCAAGGAGTTTCAACCACATACTTTTAAGACTGCGCATATATATTTTGGAGAGAGACGTAACACTTAAATCTGCTTATCACTTGAACCGACGTTCGACGCTCAGAGACATTCCTATTGAAAAATAAATTAACACAATCCTTCCTAAGTCTAAATTTGTACCCAAACCGTACCGTACGAAACAGAGCATTACTCTATTAGATTGTAGATCCCAAAGGCGTCTGTCTTGAAGGCGTACAAGTTGGGCGCTGAGCGTCCGGCCATGTTAACAAGACTTTTCCATTTGTGACGGCGGTGTGTTCATCAACAGAGGCCCTGTGGTAAATGATATCCCGATACTACAAGGGCCCTGATAGTAAAACGGCGATGAAGCCGCGGCTAATCATTGTTCTTTGACACCTCGTGTCCCAAACCCTTTCACTGACACGATTTTACCATCTAATAGGAAAATCCTCCAGGGGCTTCAGTCATTCTGGGCGGTAGGACAAAAGGAGACGCACCCAGCTAACACAAACATAATTCCGACCAGATTCTAATGTTCTCGCTTCAGTTGGTCTGGTCACACTATTTGCAAATAATATTTAACATCTCTCACTAACAACTATAACACATCTCAATTCGACGCGCTTTACTTCCACCCATTGCACCTGCACAATACAGCTATTGGTAAACTTTGTCATCATGTTTTCCTGTGACCTTTAAGCTTGGTTATTGCCTTCCCCAAGGGAAATGTGACTATTACACTCCAACACAAAAAGTCACGAATGTGATTTGGAATCATAACAGCTATGTATAATTCGGTCTGGAAGACTTCAAATTTGCTTGTATTCTAGCGAGATGTGTTGGGTTGGTTCTGCGGGCGACATCGCGCCCTGTCCGCGCTTGCTATCGGTGGATGGACCCCGCGAAACCCCGGTGTCGTTTGTCTCTGTCCCGCCTGTGACATTTAAAATCGTGGCAAGCAGGCGACACCGACGTACAATTTGGAGATAGCCCATTCTTCTCCGCTATGTCAGCCTCGAAACAAATGTCCCGTACATATCAGTGATTTGGACAATGGATTGGGTGAGTCTCAGCGCACCCATAACCTTAGCATCATCATTTGCTTCATAGATGTGCCAAAATATACGAAAATTGAGATTTTATGGTTTTTGTCAAGATGTTACATCTCTGCATGATGGATCATAATTTAGACTTCTGGAGGGGTTTGAAACCATCAAAACATTGGCCAATTAGTCCAACTTTACCTAATAAACACCGATGATATGTCAAAATATTGCATTTAATTCACAAAAGTATGTATACATTCACTAATCCCTGTTCTAAACCACAATGTATATATAGCCATGAGTTAAGACGGTATACAACTCACCGTTACTGTTCATGACTGGGACGCACTACTGTGTACGCTGAGGTGGTGAGGGAGGTTGGAGGCTTGGCGGGAACTCAGAGATCGTCTGACGCTGACTCCGTGCAGCTGGAAACTGGAATGGCAAAGAAACGCCTGAGCGCTCCTGACTTTGTGGACCAGACTTTCCCCGTCAAGCCAAAGACGTAACAACTCAATATGCCTGGTGTTCAACACGGCGGAGGGCCATCTCTGATTTGAGTACACCTGCTCGGGCGGCCTTCTCATTGGTCGAACGATCAGGGGCCGGATGGCGCAAGCAACAACTTCTGTGATTGGCTGACTCTATGGTTATGCCATTGTTCGGCTAATGCTAAGTTTATGTCGACAATCGTGGTGCCATGAAGGGCTTTTGCAGTTTGTTTTAATGTTGCCTCCAAAAAAACTTGGTATACCCAAGAGTAATATATTCAATGATATATGATGATTTCAATGGCGCGCACACACCGTTCAAGCTGTAAATATATTGCACTTACTTGTAGCCCAAATGATGTCTGATCTAGGAAGGTTGTCCTCCTCTGTAGCCTAAATCATGAGTGAGATCTCGAGAATTAATTATAAGGTATTCATAATAGATAAATGTCAGGTTGAAGATTTTAACACCAATAGCTCCTTATTCGTTGGTTTAAACCAACAACTAATAAACCAAGTCGCTTTGTGTAGTTGGAACATTTTGATGATGACTTGCCTACCAGAATTTTCTCTCGGACCAGAGACATTATGTGTATAATGTCCTTGCTCGGACTAAACAGACAATTGAACGAAGGAACGAATGAGCGAACGAACAAAACAAGTCATTTGAAGCAAAATTATAATTTCTGCCTCTTGAGCAGATCAGATTATCAGAATTTGCAATTCAGATTATGACAGTGAAGTACTTTATCATTGAAGAACTAAAACAGTCGTTTATTATTCATTCATTGATTTGTCCACCGGTGCACCGGCAACTGCCCTTAATGTTACCAGCGCATGCGCACATCGTTCAACCAACATGGCGGAGAAGTAGACAAAAAATCATGGATGTTGACGTTGTGAGGATGATTATGTCAGATTACAAGCGAGGTAAATACTCAGTTCTACACACAGCAACCTCGCTTTACTTATTAGAAAGCATTTGTGCTTGGTCAGGGTTGCTTTAATCATCTTTACACGTATATAACGCTACAATATCCCGCAGTATATGTCCTTGGTTCCCCCTTCCGTTCTAAATTATGTTTTGACTGTGTTTTGGTATTTTATTCCATGGATATTTAAGTTTTTTCTCTCCCCTCTTCCGTTTCATTTTAGACCCTGATTTCTGAGTGTGGATTTTGCTGTGAGGAGACCCGATATGCACTACCCCCAATACGAAACTGATCTCAGAGGTACAAATAATGTAGACTGCCATGTCTAGCTAGTTTGACCCCTCCCCCTTTGCGTAACCATTCCGTTTTACTGTACCTTCTCCATATCCAAGTTTTTACGTGAAAACTGTAGCAACTTTCAGACTAAAAGAAAGCCTGTGAAATAATTCACTTATCAATTGCAGTTCTTATTATTAGTTTTCATAATAATGTTTACTGTCTTGTTTCTGTGTTATGTTGACATTAAACAGGGGCTCGCCCAGCTGGGGATTTAGTGGACCCAGAGACAGAGTACAAGACAAAAAAGGGTAATGTCGTCATCTTAATTATAGCACAAAATATTTAACCACAGTGCAGGTATGTGCATGCCTACCACCTGCACCTAACCTGCACTGGGCCACATGAGGGTTGTGTCCAGGTTAATGTGGAGCACCGATCGATTTGCAAATTATAAATTGTCAAACAGAGGTACAGCTTCTAAGGCTAAAGGATCCATTTTCATTTCGGTGTATACAAATGTGCTTCATACTAGCTAGCTGCAATGTTGACAAGCACTTTCTGTGCGTTTATTTCTGTGCGTTTATGTGATGCGCATGTCACATTTTCATTCCCAAAGTATTGCAGTTACATAACGTATAAATGCAATGCCATGGGGTTGATTGAACTTAGACTTTATTGACGATGTCTTCAATTCTTATATTTAGTACCTTTGATAAGGAAATGTTGTTTCTCCGTGCAGTGACAGAACGGTTCTCAGAGAACTTACACATCATCGCCAACGAGCCCTCGCTGGCCCTGTTCAGACTACAGGAACATGTGCACAAGTCTCTCCCACAGTTAGCAGAGCAGAAGGTATGACCATACCACATATACAACCATACCACATGTACAACCATACCAAATATATAACCATACTACATGTACAACCATACCACATGTACAACCCTACAACCATACCACATGTACAACCATACCACATGTACAACCATATCACATGTCAGGTACAACCAAATCACATGTCATGTACAACCATACCACATATACAACCATACCACATATACAACCATACCACATGTACAACCATATCACATGTACAACCAAATCACATGTCATGTACAGCCATACCACATATACAACCATACCACATATACAACCATACCACGTGTACAACCAAATCACATGTACAACCAAATCACATGTACAAGGAACATGCGCACAAGTCTCTCCCACAGTTAGCAGAGCAGAAGGTATGACCATACCACATGTGCAACCATACCACATGTACAACCCTACAACCATACCACATGTACAACCCTACAACCATACCACATGTACAACCCTACAACCATACCACATGTACAACCCTACAACCATACCACATGTACAACCATACCACATGTACAACCATATCACATGTCATGTACAAACAAATCACATGTCACGTACAACCATACTACATATACAACCATACCACGTATACAACCATACCACATGTACAACCATATCACATGTACAACCAAATCACATGTCATGTACAGCCATACCACATATACAACCATACCACATATACAACCATACCACGTGTACAACCAAATCACATGTACAACCAAATCACATGTGCAAGGAACATGCGCACAAGTCTCTCCCACAGTTAGCAGAGCAGAAGGTATGACCATACCACATGTGCAACCATACCACATGTACAACCCTACAACCATACCACATGTACAACCCTACAACCATACCACATGTACAACCCTACAACCATACCACATGTACAACCATACCACATGTACAACCATACCACATGTACAACCATATCACATGTCATGTACAACCAAATCACATGTCATGTACAACCATACCACTTATACAACCATGCCACATATACAACCATACCACGTGTACAACCATATCACATGTACAACCAAATCACATGTACAACCAAATCACAGTCATGTACAAATAATCTATAATAATCACATGTTTAATCAAATTAAGAATACACTTGTATTATTAAAGCATGGTCTGGACAAGAGCTGTTTGGAGCCTTCAAGATCATATTTGACCTTGCACACACATGTATGCAGTTCAAACTGAGTACCAGCTTAATTGCATGTAATTACTTTTGCATACATGTTCATGTATGTGCTAAAATGGGTTTGATCCTACTGGCCTGTGGAAAGTTTCTGGTTGATAAACACCAAAAATTGATGAGTTAAAAAATAGCTTTAAGTTACTACATATATGAAACTAAACATGTTTTGTTTTAAATATTTAGCATGACTTGCAGAGTATAGAGAACCAGGTGAAGGGAGCTGTCTATGACACACAGTATGCTATCAGGTAAGCAGGGCTTACAACTCATGTTTCTGGGAAATAAGTGCACTGCAACTTTTAACCTTAGACGTCAGAAGCATGGAATGCATGTGGCACAGAGTAAAGTAGAATGTCAGCAAAGCCTAATTACAAACCTTACTGTCACTACTAGTAACTCTCCTCAGAGCTTGAATCTAAAATTCTGTAGCTAACAAGTAGTGCAACAAACATATTCTTGTCAAGATTATGCTGTATATTAGTGTACAGTCTAGTGGAAAGGGAGCCTGCAGAAATACCTGCAGTGCTCCAATTTTACCTGAATTATACCTGAACTGTATGAGATATGTATATCTCATATGTATACCTCATACAAGTGAAAAAATCTGGGATCAACATGCCACCGGCAGTTAATGGTCTCTAATTATAAAGTGTAGGTGGCCCTAGGATGATGGGTATCTATGGACCAATCAGAAGGCTTGTTGCATGTACACCCCAGTTGTCTGTTAATGGTATTGTTTTAATACTCATCAGCATCCCGAAGCTGCTTTGTTGACATTTCCTAACATGAAATACCGGGGACACTTTAATATATGTACTTAAAGTTTACCACTCAGTCTTCATGTTTCCGTAGTCCATGTAGCTGACATCCCTATATGGTCATAAAATGTACCGCCTTGCTCACACCATCCCTTTGTGTTATTCATGTCAAAGGCATGTCCGCCTCTTTGAAAGTCTGAGCTGACACGTGACGTCATTTAAAATGATAGATTGCAGTCAAGATTCTAATAATTTTTGTCCGGCTTTGTGGCTAATATTTGCTGTGTGGACATCGGTAGAATACCAGCGGGGGATGGCCATTGTAGCACACCGCCCTCACACGAGTTTGTGGCATTTGTCTTTGCTATTCCCCATGCACAGTTTGTCAGCAACATTGTTGTGCCATGCTCAATACTTGATGAATTTTTGGGTCTTTTCACACAGGAATCATTGACATTTAAGGCACACAATGGGTGATCAAACGTTGCATCATATTTTATATCCCTTTCTGTTTGCTCCCTGCATTACTATAATCTGGCTTATTTGGGGAATTTCAATTATTCATAAAATAACTCATTGCACATCAATGGTTTTTCATACTGTTAGACCCATCCTAATATTGTCTATCATAAATAGAGATTAAATGGCAGTATATGATTGAAGCTAATTTTCTGACAAATCCACAATGTCCAATCATTAATTTGCACTCTCGTTGATCAAAAGGCTTTTCTACTGTGTGAAAAGAGGCATGGAACAAACCATTGTAGAGACATCAGTGAAAGAACAAGCAGTCTGGCTTTATTAAAAGGATAATCCTATTGTCAATAGAGTTGCTTTGTCCCTGGTTTGTCATATCGTCTGATTGTGTGCAAGATTTGTCCTTTTTAGCAGATTGTTTCCGTAAGGTTTGTCATGCGACGTTGTCATACTTTTGTTTGTACTATTTGATGCATAGCATTGTAAGTCTTGCATTCATGCCTAACACTAAGGATTTAGAGAGCCCTTGTCATTTTGACAGAGCTATGTAAAAGTTAGTCAAAATGATCTTATTTATGAAGTTGCAATGATATTGCATAGGATATTAGATAGGAGAAAAGAGGTCTACATTGAAAAGTGAAAATAAGTGAACTTATTTGGGAACTTTTGCATTTCAACTTTAACTTACATGTCTGTGGATCCCCTAATCACTTACAATGTAGGTCCCCATACCTGGCTACTTACTGGTAAAATTTTCAATTAATTATCAACTTCTAAAGCACTAATGAATTACAAAAATATTTGTTTCTTATAGTGCTGTAGAAGCAGTGCAGAGAAGCAGCCAGCCTCTGTCCAACATTTCTGACCTGCTGAGGGAAGCTACCTTCTACAAGGAGAGACTAAATGAAGAAAGGTAACTCAAGGTTTCAGACACACATTTCTGGTAAATCTGATACATTGTATTACCAGTGATGTGAAATTGCACCCTAGAAGAATTGAGGAGGCCTATATTTTGTACTTCTGTACCTAATGGTTAGTTTAAAATCTTTGCTTGAAATCTCCTCCACAGCAACAACTGTAACTCTTTCTTCAACCTTTTGCAGTAGAAAAGCTGGAAACAAGCCTCGGGTCAAGTCAGGTTCATTCACATCTTCCAGTAGCAGGGAGGCTCATCCTTCTGGTAAATACCATCATTTTCTGACTAGGCCTAGGGAAATTAATGTTGTGTTGCTTTTTTTTAATTTTTATTTTAATTCAGATGCATGCTCCATTATTTTCCTGCAAAAATTGGACAATCATGAAATTATACTTGTACAAGGCATATGACTGCCCAGTCAAACAATGAAGCAGTTATCAATAAGCAATAAACCTTGCTGTTTGGACATTGTGTTTTTGTGTGTTCTTAACTGTTCCCACTACTGTATTTCAGTTCCTGTTTCTGGGTACGTGGTGTCACTAGAGCACTAGCCTAATGGTAGGTCCATGTGGTTCCAATAGTTAACAGCAGAGTCTGAGATCTAGAGCCTATCACTGTTTCAACTTTATCACTAACACAACAGGTATGTTTCCTTTCTCTGTTTTCCTCTGTTCAAAAAGGGTGCTTCTAATTTTACTTGCACTAACCTGCAAATAAAGGTGGTGTTCTCCACCCTTTTATGTCAGCATACTAGTACTGAAGTGACGTCTGATTAGCATTGTTTAATGGCTATTAAATTAGAACTGTTTTTTAGCTATTTAGTATTGATTTAGCTACTTAACACTGATAATAAGCTTACTCTGGTTTGCTGGTAACTGTGACATTTAATAATGTGCAGTCACTGGCTGCTGTTTCCATTTGAACTTTCTGTGGAACATCAGAAACAGCAGTGAAAAATCACAATGGATTAATCACTGTCCTTGTTGTGATTATTGTCAAGATGGTGATTTTTCATTAAGCCAAAACAATGTCTGAAAATCAAGAAGAAGACAAGAACACCATCACTGAGACTCATCTGCTACGGCGTAACCTTTCATCATTAAATTCAACTTAACTCTTTATGAAGTCATTATCTAACAACTTTTCAATTAAAGCAGACTGACCTTTGCATCTTCCATACACCTCTTGACAAGTGTTCTTTAGTGGATAGAATGACATTCAAGCTGGTGTCATAACCATGGCAATGCCAAATACACATGTCGGGAGTCATTTTAAAGATGTCTTTGGTAAGAAGGTCTGTACTTAACCGACAATTTTGATCAAAGGAGCGTGAGCCAGAAAATGTCAGCAGCAGTTTTTTCTCTAACTTATTATAATCTGACAATGTAATATTACAAAGTACTTTTCAAAGAATACCAGATTTGTATTTTGGATCAAGAAGCATTGACACACTGCAGCTGTTTACTGTATTCTTTCCAAACTGTTTAGAAACTGTGATACTCGTTTTAAGTAAGTGAAATCCCATCTCAACTAATATGGTATTGTCTCATGAAAATTTATTTTGGTCAAGTGTAGGTCAAGAGAGTGTTATGTTGCATAGCAATAATCTGATCACATTTTGGTCTGACGACTTGAAGCATTGATCATGGTAACTCAATGCAAACGTGTTACAAGTGTTGCTGTGATTGTGGTACGTAGATGTAGATGTTATTCCATGTTGTTTCATACACATGTACCTGAGTTATGATGTTGTATATTGTATACCAGGCACAGCATTAACGCTGACCCGCCGGACGTTCAGATGAGCCCTGTGACGGAGAGTCTTCCCGTGTTCCGTGGCCTGGAAGTGTCTATTCCTGCTATCCCAGAAACAACAACACAGGACGATGACATGGACTTGGTGCCAAAGTCCTTTGATTGATGGGAATGAACTCTACAGCTTCAGAATGTTCAGGCAAATGTGAGATTAGGGTCACATTTGGACTGTGGAACCTCATTTTCTAATATCATATACATGCATATTTTCTATCATCCTTGAGAGCCCATACTTCATCACAATTGAACTGCAAAAGGCTATGATCAGTCCAAAGGTACAGTGTACTTGAGACCATCTACATGATCAGGCCACACTAGCCACCACTTGGAGACAGAGGTGTGGGACTTTTGACCAATTGCTGATAATGTGCTGTATGGCAGTCAACAATTTTTCTCATATTGTGTTAAGAAAAATTTAATCAGCTCTGTTCTGCCAACACAGATCAATTTTCAACATCCTATGATTCATGCCTGGAAAGTTTTGCATATTGTACAGACAAACATCATCATGTTATTGTAACCCAGCAAAAATTGATTTTTTTCACAGATAACATTTAGATTATCCCTAGAATCCAGTGAGTGAGGCCCCAGTCCTGTACTAATCCTCAGGCCGTGACCTGGTCAGTACATCCCCATCTCTACCTTTCATGTTGTGATAACTCCAGCCTCACTAAGTCTCACTCATCCCCCACTGGGAGCTGGGGAAGTTGACCAGAGATCACAGTAAGCTCTTTACCTCCACAGTAAAGACTTTCTAATGTGTCGTTAATCTGGGCAATTGGTAGCAGATCATCTGTTCTATCATCTCCACACGATTAATTATTAACCACAGGGAAGAAAGGGATAGGAAAGTTGACAACATTGTAATGAAAGTATGGACACTTCAGCCTATGGTGGTGGAATGAATACTAGTATACTTGCTTAGCATGCAAGTACTACATGTAGTCCAAATGGAAAAGAATTTCATTGGAGAAAATAGATAACATACAATGCCTGACATACAATAAATAAAACAAATGCCAATATTTTTTCAGAAATTATCAGATGCCACGCTTGGTCATTTATGTTGATTTATGCCTTGTAAATCCAAGTATCAGAAAAAAATACCATGCTAACATCTACTTATAGAATAAAACTGAATGGTAGGCAAGCCCATGGTACAACGTACATAAACACATGGCCATGACTCTGCACCATTTCTGGCAGTATAAAATACTGGTTATTACTGTAAGCAATTAAAACAGCAGCCACATTATGGTCTGAAAATGAGAATTTTTATTCAAGTGGACTGGCAACTATAGTCTTTTTTAGTCAACATTTTTTGTACATTTGTATTTGTTCATATCACTTGGCCTTGTTACCTGAAAAGAAAGAACAACAAAGGACGGCAAATTCGACCAGTTTAACTGTGTTCTTGGAACATACTACATGTATATGTACAACAATATGATATTTACAACAGTCCCTCCCTTTTCTACATTTCAATCGTAAAGAAAAATTATCTCTTTGTAACTAACTTTATTTGTTCTGCAACATCTCATGCCTTAAAACTAGAGGATATCAAAAAGTTTTCCCTGAAGTGGCAGTACATGTAGGTCCAACAAAGTTACTAGTACCATTCACGGGATGCGTGCGGTACAAAAGGGACATCTAGTGATGATGATGTGTACTGCACCTTGAGCGGTGCAACAGTTTTCACCGAACTGTGCACGTCTTTTATTGATTCCCCTTTGCATCGCTGTGCCCAGTACATGTGAATGTCTCATGAACAGAATATTGAAGTAAACATTGGTGACAATTTGCGCTGCTGTCCAAGCCCTATTCGTACAATATTCCGCTTTCTACACAGGCACGGCTTTCAACCGTGTGGTAATGCTGTAATGGTACAGCTTAGCCGCTAGAGGTTGTTCGTGTACTGCAGCAGTCGTCTCCTAATCTTAGCGAGAGTTGTATTTGTCCAGGACCAGACTAGGTCCCACTGATATCGTAGAGCCCACTGATATCGAATCAACATTTTTACCTAGTAGAGTTCACTCAAGTATCTGTCGATTCTTGGTCTCATGGGTAGACTCACGAAGAGAAGAAAAACGTTCCAAACTTGACTAAATCCTGGTCCAGCAGCACGTGTTATACCAGTGTGGAAAGTTCGCTGCTCTGAGAGTCGAGGCGCTTGTTCCCGCCAGTGTCTAACGTGTAGCTGCCGTATTTGGAAGCTCCCGTCTCCCTGTCCCATGTGTAACAACTCATCACAACAACAAAACCGACGAACAGCAGCCCGGCTCCCAGGATACACATCCCCAGGATGGACGGGAAGGAGTGGGTCTGGAGCACCATGAACAGACCGATGGCTGGGAGAGAGAGAAAAGCATATCAACAGTACATATTTGATATTTTACAGCCACCGACGTCAAAAAGTCAAAGCAATGACGTTACTAACTACAGTGTACTCAATGCCAGAAGTACCGAGGAAGGTGTCTGATAAACACAGAAACGTAAGCTAGGTAAGACAAATTTTGGTTGTGCAAAAGAGAACTTAACTATATCCTGTACTCAATGTAGGATTACATTGGGGCAGCAAAGTTCTGGATAATGAAATGTTTAATGAGAGAGGCGGGATTCCCCTGAAGGCAATTAGATTTTATCAAATAGAAATGATGTTAATGAAAACAAGCAGAACGGCGTCACCATTTATTCTTTGTTAGGTAATCCTAATGACGTCACTTACCGACGAACAACAGCGGTATGCTGACAAAGAACGAGGCTGTGGCGATGAATCTCGTTCCCACAGACTTCTTCAGCAGCTTGTACACCCTGTGTGGAGAGACACGCAAAGGAAGTTGTCAGGTTTTGATGTCAACAACAAGGGTGTAAAAACTTACTGTCCTCTTGCAATGTTGGTACCTTATAATAATATGTCACCAATTAAACAATAACAGGTACTAGACGAAAACACCTTTTATAACCGAGGATGTTACAGCTAATGTTATTTTAAAAGGTTCGGTGCCCTTTTTTCTGTTACAAGTAGGTAATCAGAGGGAACATGAAGTTGAAGGCAAACAGTATGAAGTTGAAGCCATCCATAAAATCATACGTGTGGCCTTAGTAAGTACCGAAGTCAATAAGCCTAAGATAACAGTTCATCTCTCATTATGTAAAAGTAGCCGGAGTTAGATGAAAGGGTTGCATCTATTGTCTGTTTGTCCTGTGTGTACAAAAGTTGTTTTCCATCGCCTGGGGCCAGCTGACCAATAAGGCGTACATCACCCATAATTACGGAGGTAATTGCTGCCTAATTGACCCAAATCAATTGATACAGTCACAGGACCATGTTTATTCAAGATTATACATGTTAGTACAGTTTTAAAAGATCGCTAGTAAAGAGTAATACATTAAGTGCTGTCTGACACTAAGGCAAATCTAGCTGGTGCGGACCCCAATTCGCCAGTATATTTTGTAAAATCACACAAAATACCCCTGGGAGTGAGTCTACAATTGCCCTAAGAACTGTTCCTAGGTCAATTATTGACTGGTAATTGTCCTGTATCCTAACAAAGGAGTTCTGAGTTTTTGTCCATGTTTGAGGCTGTGAGTTGTCATACAGATTTGTTCGGGTGGTTCTTCAACTCTCTTCTCCGAGGACAGCCCTTATGACTCCTGTTGACCAAGATCCAATAGTGACACCAAGAATAGACACGTGTCGTGCGCAGAACCAACAGATCCTGACAAGAACGTGACACCTTTGACATACCAGTACCGCCTCCATAGTCAGCTTAGCAACAGGTGGTTAGAAGGGACCGTCCGTGGCTTATGGTGCAAGGGGTGCATAGTTATGTCACCTTTCTCATTGTCACATCATACTTGGTTTTTGGAAATACACAAAATGGCGTTTAACCGATTTACATGGCAGGTATATTCTGCAAAAAAAAGAATCTAAGATAGTCTTGTCTCGGAATGTCACACGTACTATCATTATATGGCAAATTGGTAGGGGTGCTTACGTCATTATGTCGTGGCAACTAGTACTAGTCAATATTAAACGTTGTCAAACATTCATCGAATCGTTTTCAAAGAAACCATATGTTCTTGGGCCTTCTTGGGGGGTGGGGGTGAGGCTTGTCACCATACACCTGAGGTGTGTGGTCGTGATGCAGAAACTCATTGCAAATACCAAGAGAAATGTTTTAAAATAGACGGAAAGAGCCGTCATTGTCGGGCGTATTTTAAAGAAGGGTGAAAAGGTGCGGGTCAAATTGTTCGCGACCTCCGTGCACCACCATTGTACCTCCTGACCCGATCCTTCAGTCCATTATTCCAGTCGACATATAACATTACAGCAACTCAAGTCATTGAGCAAGAGCCGGGAAAAATGCCAGGAATGTTGCTAGTGTACTACTTTTCTTTCCATGTGGATAAATCTTATGGATCAAGGCGTCGCGCGATCAATCACCGTGGGCTTTAGAAAACGTCACAGTTGAACGGGACGGCGTCTGTATCCTGGGAATGGAGACAATAGCACTCGTGTTGCAGTTCAAACAGTCTGTACTCAGGGGATTACTAGTGGCCGCAACCTGGAACCCAACAGGCCAGAAAGGAGGACAACAACCGATGTAGCACCTTTTTACCAGTGATTAAAGGCAAATACCGCTGTTTTGTGATATTGTCTATGTATGGTTTAGAATTCTGTACATCATCTCCCTGATTGTTATATCTGGGAGTGGGAGAAAAGGAGGGCGTGTCAAGTTGAGGGCTTCGATATCAAAGGCAATGCATTTGCTACCTGCAGATGTTCACGTCAGAGGGTCCGGTATTACTTTTAATAATAAGCTTGAATAGTTGGTTTGAACGTCGTATCTAAATGGTCCCATTAAATGTAATGAGAGAAAAAAACACTGAGCAGTGACTTACTTCTCTTCCCCATGAAGTGTACTGGACAGACGGGAGGACAGGTAACATTGCGTCACGCACACAATGACGCTACACAAGTCCAAGACGGCGACCAACGTCGCGACGCCCAGCCCAGCGTCGACGAGCCCGTCGTACGCCGCCCGCGACACCCACACCGTAGATGCCAACGTCGCCGCCTGCTCCTGTTTCTGGATCAGCTGGAATATGAGAAGAACGGCGATGGCGGCGATGAAGGTTGCGAGAACGCTGATCAGACCTAGAAGGTGGAGCTGCCTGTCCACACGGAGGGCTGCCCGGGACGCGGTCACGGACAGGCCGTTGTCACGGAGGGAAAAGGAGTGTCGGGACCGGGTGCTGAGGGTCGGCGTCGTCAGCTGAAGACCGGGCGGGACGCTCAGGGTCGGGGTCGGCAGAGGGGTCGAGTTGACGTGGTTGTGGTTTATGTGGTTGGCCATCAAAATGCTACCCATCTCGGTTGGTAGTCTTCAGTGTCACACGTGATTTTAACACGGAATATATGTTGTATTCTCTCCGCTGATTTGAACAGGGACGTGGCTGCCTTTCAGCAGTGAACAAATGCAGCCAGAGACAACAATACGTTCTGCCCCCTCAGGAATGCGGTTCCTCCCCCTCAGCCCAGCGCCGGAGTGGCTGCGGTCCTCTGACGGAGTAACCCCAGACGCGATCTCCCGTCCTTCACGTCGCGATCGTTAATGGCTACCGCCTCGGTAACGTTCTTCACGTGTTTAGTAAACTCCTCATTAAGGTGTGCTTTGATGACGACCCTCGGTGTATGGTGTCTTGTCCAGGCGAGGTGGCGTTATACTTCAGTCCTGACACGCCTCTCTTAGGGAGAAATCCTCTGTGTCGTCGACAATCACCTTTTGTGTGTACCCGGTAACGTAAGATCCGCTGACTTTACGCGGCGTTTCCCATGAAGAGCCGGGCAATCGACTTGTTTCCCTCCGCCTCGAGTTCTGTTTTTAGTTACAAGAGCCGGACGCGATTAGTCGGTTGGGGACGCTACGCTGCCCTCTTTACCGAGATCCTATGTCGCAAATTACGGAGTGCGGAGGGCTGGAGTGGGCGTCGAGTGTTTACCTGGCCGTAAGGGTAAACACTGCGGAGTAAACGGAGAGAATGGACGAGTGGCACGATCCTTACGCGCTATTCGATCTTGTACGTACGGCTCGGGTTGCTTTGTAACCTCTGGGTCACGGAAGCGTTGTTGGTTGGTAACATCAATCGTATGGCGTCACGTATGGGCGTCCAGGGCAACCTGGATGGACAGGTGTTATCTGTGTCAGTGGGCGGCTGAGCTGCGTACATGCGGTACCAGGGGACAGCTCTGCCCCATTGTGCAGAAAAGAATCGGAATCTTCGCACAGACAAGTGCATGTAACAGTTATTTGATCTAGATTATGATGTGTTCGTTTTCTATGTTCCGATGTCAATACTTGGATCTAAGATTCTCCCTCCGACAACCACATACACTGAGTACTCTTTTTCTGGTAACTTTGGACACAATCTATCCTGATGGATAGGAGTATTATTTGAAGTATTATTTGAAAGGCTGTTAACAATGCAATAAAGAGTTATCTCATGCTATCAGAGTGGACGTGGTGAGGTGTCATGCATGCATTGATCATTTTCGTGCGGTCAGAGGTAAGGTGAAGTGCTGTTATGTTTTGTTTCCATGGAAATTGATTGATGCATGTAATTTGCTTTTGGATAATATCTATATCTGGACAATATGCCAGACGTTTGCAGGGAAATTACGAAGACATGGATGATTTTCTTTCTATTTGCAAATTTGAAACTTAATGTATCACTAAAAATCCACCTGTCTTTGTTGACGGTCAGTTATGAAAATCGTATGACAAAAACTCGCATGCCGTACGTGACTGCGGATTTGTCGCGTACAATACCTGTCCAGTCGCCCCAGGCAGTGCGTGGTGTTACCTGCACACGCTACAAAGACGGGATCAACTCAGCCTAACAGCGCGGAAGTTACTTTTGTCAGCAAGCCACAAGTCAAAGGAAAGCAAACATTTCAAATAAAAAAGGGCCGCGTTTTATCATCTTACACTCAATGTTTGTTTTTGTTCATTGCTTTCCCGCTTTCGCCACAAATGTTTTCGGAAGTAAGTGACGCTTTGCTAGCAGGTCGACATCACTTTAAGCCTCGCGCCAATGTAAGGACGTGTACGACGTTATGCATGCGCAGCTACATTACAAAGGGAACAGGTAGGTTTGTCAGGACAAAGCATCGTTCTGGAGCCCTCGCCCATGCTAAAAACAAGGATTAGCTGGGACTTGAAGTACCAACCACAAGGTACACTGTTAGAGTGATGATGGTTTTGAATAAAGTCCTGGATAAGGTACTACATGTACATTGTAATACCGTATTCAGATTTGTAGCTGGCGGGGCACTACAAGATCTATTGCAGCTTGTATTTCAAATTACTGAATGTAGTACAGTCACATCCATATACCTATACTTTCAAACGGTCCGGATAAGCAAAACGTAAATTCCAACTTAAATTAGCTGTTCCACCATGCTGAACACAGTCGAATTCCGCTGAATGGCAGGATTACTGTAACAATTCCAAATTAGAAACGCAGAATTAGAACGACAAACCTCTTTCGCTGATGCATCGTTTTATACGAAATCGTTAACAAAATGTTGAACGCGCTGGTAAACAAACGCAACCATGGCAAATGTGATGACATAAACTGTAGTTGAAAAGAGCCTCGCAAAGTGGCGCTCGCTATAAGCTAAGTGTACGTGTCTATCATCTCAACACCATGACTTCTTAGCTACTAGGTGTGGCATAATAAGTAAAGTTGAGCGCTTTATGAGAACCAATATGCGTAATTTGGCACTTGTAAGTTGTAGGGAATCTAACATGTAGGTCACCGCCCGCATGGCGTACATGTACCTTCCCACGCCACTCTTGGTCAGTGTTCATTGGCTTTGGTGGAACGTTATGTCAGGAACCCTGGCCAATGTTTTCTTTTCACTCTCACTCTTAACAACAACGATTTACTCGAGTCCACAAGCGTGGCCGTGGAACAATCTCTCAACTGGTTCTGGTAATTGTTAATGGTCTTGAGTCCACCAGTCCAACTAACATTGGTTAAACATCATCTTTAGTAATTCAAGACAAGCATTATAAACAAGATAAACTGAATAAAGTCATTAAAAACCTCGGTCGGCCCCTTAAGACAGATCAACAGTGATCAAGAGCGCAAGGTAAAAAGAAAAGGTAGAAGGTTGTGCATGGGATATCAATATTCCACGTTTCATGCATTCTAATATTGCACATGAATAGATAATTGTAAGAAGTACAAAATACAGTGGTAATGGCAGAGAACTTTAATAGACAAAATATTAATGCACAGAATATGACTTTTAAGTAAAAACAATAACATTAAATCATTATTGCTCATCCTTTCCATAGCATGCAATATAATCTTTCAAAATAACCACACCCCAAAAACAAGAAACATGCAACATTTTATGCTCTTTATAAAGATTTTACCAATTCCTGAGCATTGAAAGAATCTGACAATAATTATCAGATAACACCAAATCATGACATCTTAAACAATTCAAGTAAATCATATCACCATTAACATTACTACCATATGAAACAAGTGATTATAAATGAAAAAAAAAACATGATTTCTCTACTCTATTGGGTCTTGTGTTGGTGCACATGTACAATAGTCAAGTAATTGTTTATGAGGCCACAGCAAGTAACTTTTACAGCTAACATCCTCTGTAGCCTCCAATTCTAAATAAAATAAGATGGGCAAAAATTACGACTTATTTTTCTACAACTACACTTCAAGGCTATCATGACATATTTTTCTACATGTATTTTTGGTATTATCTTGTCATGCTGACCACTGACAAAGAGGAACAAAATTTTTCTTTTTTTAGCCAGATGGGCGTAAGGTCGTCCATAACATTTACTTGGGCCTAATTATTAATTAGTATTATTGCACCAGCATAATATACAGCACCATACAAGTGCATATTAATCATAATGCTGTCAAGTTCTTTTGTACAGTCAAAAATCATCACAAACAAAACATTTAAACTTCCTTAACAAGTACATTAGGTAGTTTGGTTACTAAGTCTTCCTTTCAATTTCAACATCTTATTTTGATAAATGTAATTCTGTTGTAATCATATGTTCCAATGTATTTGAACACCTGTAGCATTACATACAGGGGATCTTAGTGGTCTTTCTAAATGACATTGTACACTAAGTCTTCTAAAGACTAACATTTCGATAATAAACTAACAGTCGAGTTTAAATGATTCAAGAGAGCATTACTTTTCAGTTTTAAGTACTACATGACTTACTTGGCACCATTCTACATTACAACTTTGGTGCAGTGATTCTTACTTTCTACTATACAGTCATTATTTGTTGTATATTTTAGTGTGTTGTTCAAGTGAACAGAGAAATGTTAGCAACAACAGGAGTTACAAATGTTAATACCTGTAGTAGCAT